TACTACTATATATATATATATATATATATATATATATATATATAGTCTATATATTCTTGGCAATGAATTACTGATCATTGTTATAATTAATTCGATACAATTTGATAGTAAATTCCACTCATTTACGCATCATTACATAATTCAAACAAAGAAACGAATGAATAAATAACGAAGAAATAATAAATCATGAACTACCTTTAATTCCTTCGCGGACGGTGATGGTTTCGAGCGCGGAAACCTCTTCCCCGTTGGTTGTTGTTCTCATTTTCTGCGGGTAGGTTATCCTCCTGCACGCTTGGATCCCTATGCTCGGTAGGTTTCACGTCGCTTTCCTGGTTTAGATGCCGATCGAAAGGCTTCTCATCTTGATGGCCTCGTCCGCCGCGGCGCGCGCCGCCACCCCGCCCATGGAATGAAGGGCGCAGCGGCAGGTCGTACCCCGCGCTGTCAACATCCGCACCGTGGTGGCCGCGCCATCCACCACCGCCCTGCTGCTGATGTTGATGCGAATGATGATGATGGTGCGGATGTGGAGGTTGCCGCCCACCCCGATCGTAGCGCCCGCGATTGCCGCTGCGATTAAGGCACATCGCCTCCTGGGCGATCTCGTGAAGACGGTAGCTGAGCTCGTCCAGGCTCGGCGGATCCAACGTCTCGCAGGCCAGTGAAATAAGCAAGTCTACCAGTCGGTTCTTCATTGCTTCCTTTTCTTCTTCTTTCGTTCTTTCTTTTTGATTAAAAGAATTATCTTTTTCTTTTCGTTTCTTAATATTAATATCTTCTAGCGTTCGCCTCCAATCTAACTATGCGCTTGAGAATATATAAGGTGAGGTATAGGTATGTCTAGGTATGCTAATTAATATAATTAGCGAAAAATTGGTCAGCAAAAGCAGAATTCAAGAAAGTGAAGGTCTTAAAGTATCAATGAGATGTACAAGAAATGCTACGAGGTGCAACTAACTTAATATGCCCTCGATAAATGCAAATCATCCAAAGAAAGCACCATTATAATTTTATTTTTACTGGTATTTGCTAGGGAATATGACATTCCTGGAATGAAGGAATTTTCCCATTCTTGCTAATCTCACTACTAATTTTCCTATACGGTAATAATCTAACGTCCGAGAAACCTCCTCCAATTATCCTAATGACGCTATCTACTGTCTTTAGAGATCAGGTTGATAGAACACTTTAAGGGTGAAAAGACAATGAAGGCGTATGAAGAAAGCGAAAATCGGCGTCGAGTATGCGAACTTCGTCAGTTATAAACACATCTCAAAGTTAGATCCCCCATTAGTGATGATCATCAAGATGAGACCATACGTAGCGGTGGGGGTCGAGAATAAGCGAGGAAGCGTTATACTTCAAACACAACGCTGGATACTCACCAAACCACGTCCCAAGGGTAAAGGCGAAAAACATCCAAAACGGGTCTCGGTTGAATTGACTGAAACGACGAGGGATAAAACCACCCAGAAGCATATTTCTCTCTATTTAAAAATTACCGTCGTTTGCAATGACCAGCGACTAAGAAATACAGTAAGGTATGAACTATAATTATGCTGCTTGGAAAAAGGGATGAAAACAGACAATCCTATTCTCAAGAAATTAGTAGAGAAGAAAAAAAGCGTTCACGAATGCCTCGCTTTATGCTCAAACCATCTCAAAGTAGCAATTTAGTAGAAGCTCACTACATTGTTACTATATTTCGCATTACCACGACACAACGACCAAGAAACAGAAAGTGGCGCATAAAGTGAGCACGAATTTGGCCTTTAAGAAAAAAGAATGCCCCCCCCCCCTCGCACACTCAAGTATGTAAATACACATGAACTTAATTAATTATTCCAACGGTTTGTGCAAGCGTCGCATCGAACGAGACAAGTCCCCTTTCGTGATAGCATCCCGCCAGCCGTGATCCTCGCGAGCCGGCGAAGCTCCCCGGCGGCGACCACCTCTCGGACGCTGCAGACGATATTCAACCACCCCCCACCCGCCTTGTCATCCGCGCGTATTTACCGGAAGCCGACCTGGGATAGGCAACGCCGCGGGAGCGGCCCCGCCCCGTGTCGATTTCGCACGACCACCCCCCCGCTACGCCGAAGTATCCCTGCCCTTTTCCCTGTTCCCTTTTCCATGCCCCCTCCCCCCCCGAAGGTGATCGGCTCGGAAGGAATCCCGCGTGTTTCCCTTCTCCCCTCCCCCCGTTGCGGCGACGCGGGCGGTTATTCGGCCGATTCGCTTGCTAAGACGACGCACGCAACGGCCAGCCGGGCGGCCCCTTCGTAACCCTTCCATAGGCTTGGAAATGACATGCACCAAAGCAATCCGCACGGGGCTTCGCTCGACACACGACGACACGGAAACGAAATGAGGTGGGAAGTGTGCATAGGATAATCCTAATTCATGCGATGCTCAGGTTATCGCTTAAGGATGAGTCAAAAGGGAGGGGGTGGGAGAGATATGGGAACGAGATTGCGCATCGCAAAAGACGGATCGGTAATAATCGAGGTACATAGACTACGCCACTACAACGTTTTTCTCAATCTATTTAGCATAAGGTTTATAATATTTCGGAGTTTAAGGTTATTAACGAAAGGCGATCCAACGAACTAAAGGGAAAAAACATCTAAGAAATTCGGTGATCCATGCCAAGTACAACGAAACCTACATAAGAAAGCCCACTTTATCAGACGAACTAAATGTCGTGCCCCTTAGAGGCGCGACACCAGCATCGCATGTGTATGATGCTCACAGTGACGAATGACGAGAGAGAGGGCGATAGTAGTAGTAGATACCGCCAAGAAACGGGTAAGATTTCTCCAAAACATCGGGTATGCAACTTGGTCAGGCAGAGCCTGCGGTCCTTGCATCATAGGGAACATCGCTTCGATGGATGAAATAAAGCTTGACAAAAAAAATGGGAATAAAGCTTCATAATAAACACAAAACCGGAAAGAGAAAAAAGGGAAAAAATATGAGAGCGACTAAATACCCAAAACAGACAAAGTATTCCCATTTAGGATCTGATTATCAATACTCCGAAAAGGTAACAATCAAATAATACCTAGCTCTCAGATATAACCCTAGTTATACATTTTATCACGTCCTACTCATATAAGTACATATGTAAAAAAAAGAAAAATATAACGAGAAATAAGTAGTAAAAACAGCTAGAAAAAGTAGAAATAATACACCAATGAAAACAAACATCATCACACAGAAGTTTTACAATGCTACAATACTATAAGGAAAGAGCAAAAAAAATGTATGCATCAAAGTACAACAAGTAAAAATTTTAAAAAATAAAAAAAAGAAAAGTATAAGATAAAAATAAATTATTGTATAATTAATATATTGCAGTGCTGTGCATTTTGGATGTAGGGCATGTGTAGATCTCTTCATAGTAGTGGCAACATAATAAAATAGAAAGGATAAAGAAAAATGTATACGGGAAGTAAAAATGACTTCTCTCAAGACGCTCCCGGTATCATTGCACTTTTACATGCGGATGGAAATCGCGACGATCACAACAAGATCAAAGTAATCCTCCCTCATGTAAACCGAACACACAAAATATTATTTACACATGCTATCGTGTAGAAAATGAATTAAAAATAATAATCATACAACAATCTGAAAGAGAACTCATTATTAGATAACATATCCTAAACCCAAAAAGAATCGCTTCGGTCGACCTACGGAAGATAAAACACTGAAAGCAAAAAGTCAAAAATAAAAATCCATTTCTCTCTAGCAAGGCGGGTATGTCCCCAAATTTCCTTTTTAAGCCGTTTTAAACACTTTTCATTGTATACTTCTGGAAACTGGTAATAAAGAGGGCGATAAAGCGATCTTAATTCTACTACAGTCAATTAAATGTTTATACATGATGCAGTATCATCGTCTATGCGAAGTTCTCAAACAATCATGGAGTAAATGGTCGTTGTGGTGCCGAGAACAACGGCCAGAACACCCAGCATTAATAAAATATAGGTACTAAGGTAGTGAAACCAGCCCACATTTTTCAGGGTCCACCCCCCCAGATACATTATAAAAAGGGCGGGAAAGATAAACCCGATGAACCCACCACAGAGGCCGCCGAGCAAGTTGAACACCACGTTGACGTGGATGCCGAGAGTCCCAAGCAGCAGCGCCAGGGTGGACATGGCCGCGCAGATGGCTGCGTTCCGCCAGAACGGAACCGTGTTGATGCTCTTGAACGTGGGGAACTTCTTGGAAAGACAGTAGTACAGGCTGTCGCGAGCTGGAAGCATACACAGAGCAAAGCTCACGCACAACTTGAGGCCGATACCAAAGTAGGATATAAACACCATGGGTTCGCGTTTAGCGTCGTAGAACAACAAAATCGAATCGTCGATGCTTTCGCCAAAATCCAGGTACCCAAAGAGACCCGCGATGATGTAAAGCAGACAGCACGCACTCATGCTAAACGATGTGTCTCGCGTCAGCCTCGCCGGCGTCGGGTGGTTCATCTCGCGGAGCACCTCGAACGTGTTGGTTTGGCAAACAAACGAAAAAATAAAAGTGCCGATGCCGGAAGTGGCGTCGTTCCCCCACTTGAACAGCGACACCTTGTGCTTCAGTTTGCCGTTCTCGAAGGCATTCGTGCAAGCGTGGATGACGATAACGGCGACGAAGTATACCATGGAGAGTACACTGATCACGGAAACGTAGCGCAGGCTGTTGATTTCCTTTGGGATGGCCAGCGGCAGCATCAGGCAGGCCCACACGATGAACACAAGAAGCCGATTACCCCATATGGTGGTCCAAAACGAGCTGGATGTGGAGTTTTGGGTGATATTCTCGATAATATCACCAACAGAGATGACGTACGACACGCACGAGCCGAAGCAGAACATCCACATAATAAAAGCCGCTAGATAGTCGCAACCGTGTCCAAGGAGCCCTTTGGAAAGGAGTTCGTAGGTGTAAAGTTTAAACTTCGTCTTCTCCGCTGCCTGCCCCAGGATGAACGTTGAGTACGCAGTCGATAAAGTGACTAACACGAGCATCACGATGGCAAATATGATTCCAGTTGCCTGAAACGACGAGGGCAGCGATAAAATGCCGGAGCCAATGGTTACAGAGGCCAGGTTATATGAGTTTGATATGGCGCCGCCGTGCGGAACGATGCGGTTCATAAAGGCGAAAAAACGATTCGATGGTTTGTAAGTACATTTGCCTCCGAATGCTTCATTCTCAGAACTTTGAGACGTTTCTGTGTGTGAGCCAGCCTCCGTAGCATCATAGTCTGTTTGCTTCGGGGGCGACAAAACGGTCTCCGAGGGAGGGGTGTCGGCCCTATCGTTGCTTGGTACGTTCATTTTGCTTTCAGGGTTGAGCAGTGCAGTTTTTTAGATTGTTGAGTGCTCAAAAGGAGTGTAAAGTTGAAATGCAAAAAGTTTAAACCTTGTTTATATGATTGATACTCTTTATTATATTCATTTTTCTATGATGCTTAAAAATCTTCTAAAGGATATAGTAAAAAGGGATATGGGTAGAGATAAATGATGTTTATTGCTTCGTATGAATTACATTTTTTTGTGTTTTTCTTTTTTATAATTATTTTTCCTTTTATTCAGTTTTTCTTTGCGACTAGGGTAGGCGTGCATTTATAGAATACCCATTTACGCTCTTCCTTTTTATCTAGAACTTCCCAATAGTGATTGATAGCTAAAGAAATGTTAAAGAAGTATCAAGACTTCTAAATAGAGGAGACCCTATTTTTTTTTACCTATTTTGATACCTGTGTCGGTTAATCTTTTATAGACGCCTTTCGGGGTTTGACGGCAACTGCTCCAATGGGGTATCTCGATGAGAAGATCCACCATCACCCGTTTCACGTTGCAATAATGCTAAAATTTCTTGCACCGTATCGCCAACCTTCAAATCCATAAATTTGATAGTATGTAGCTGCTCATTTAGTAGTGTGGCATCTTTTAATTCGTCATCGGACAAGTTTAAATAATCTTCTCGGACAAGCTTTTCCATGAGGTGACGCCAGCGCCGCCTCCGTACCAGAGATTCAGTAGCGGCTAACGTGGAAATATCGTAAGATGCGATCGGCGACTCTCCTCGGGCATGAGCGAGATACGCTTTATAAAGCATGGCGTAGTCGGGAGGTAAACCAGCATAAGAGACTGAACCAGATATTTTGTACTCGCGCAAATCATCACCGGACGATGTATTATTCTCCTTCACCGTTATTTTATCAGAGTTCCCGGCATCTGCGGCCAAGTGGCGTTCGCCTTGGATCGTTGTACCACTTCCCCCCGGTTCATCCTCAAAGAGGGATGGTAACGAATTAATGGTTTCTTGTACGACCTCGTAAGAGGTTGCAGGGCCGCAGCCTGAGCTGGAGTCGCACAGATTACGTTGCACGTCAGCCGCGTTCTGACGGCGCTGCCGAAGTTCCTGCTCATCTCTCTCCAACGAGTCCAAATCCACGCTGCCGAACACCTGATAATACACCTCGCGCGCATCGTGCGTATCGCAACCGTATATAATCGCACAGGCCTCCATAAGAGAAAAAAGAAACTGAGTATCCATACCATCCCCACCCATCCTTTTGGCGAGCGTGGTGTGGAAAAATTCTTGAAAGCGGTCACAGTAGCGCATGCGGTTTTCGTTGAAAAAATACCGCGCGCCCTGGAGTTCTTTCGTTTTAGGGTCAACCTCCACATTAAAAGGAACCCTGTCGTTCTCGCTTCCCGCCATGCCAATGGGCACTGCATTACGCTCCTTATTCATAATCCCTGCTAGATGCTTCTGCCCTCGTCGCAGCTCTACATCACTGTAAACTAGCGGCGAAATATCGAAGCTCATTTGATCGCGGCGCTTTTTGGAGATGAACTCGCGATGAATCATGAGGTTGGTGCCGAAGTCCTCCTCGTATTCGACTGTCTGCTCAGGCGGCATCGGACGATACACGATTTGAAGTGCCTCCTGAGATGTGATGCCAGTGGGTGGTGCGGCCCCTGTGTTGGTGACTTGCGGAGACCAGGCTTTTTGGCTATGTTTTCTCCGCATCAAAAGGGATATTGCGTTTCGAAGCATTTCCGCTGGATGTGTTTTTACCCCCTCACAGCACCTCCGATGCAACGCCGTTTTTTTTTTCGCAGAATACCTATATAACCATAGATTTCCAAACTGATATAGGCTTTATTCTTTTAATATTTGAGAGAAAACACATACGACAAAAATTTAGCCTTCTTATTTTTCCTAGACAACTCAGATTGAAATTCTACTACTTGAGGAGATGTTTCATTATATCATAAAGATAGCATACCACGGTATGATATTAATACTCACTACTCTTCAATTCTAAAGCCCCATGTTTTTTTTTGAAAAATGAATAAAAACACACTCATTGATTGTGTTAGAAAATGTGGGTAAATTAAAGACTAATATCATAGTACAAATTCATTTTTTTTTCTTTCGTTGCAAATAAAAGTAAAAATGCGATATGGTACTACGATTAGCATGTTGCTCTGCCCAAAGCGTCCATGCAAGGGAAGAATCCGAGTTAGTGCGGGGAAATCGTAGCAATTCTTAACTTTCAAAGCTTTATAGAGACTAGTTATCAATAATTCTCTGCTCTTCACAGAATCATGGACAAAAATGTATAATCAGAACACTGTATAGGCGCACTGAATCCATCAAGAAACCAGAAATATTGTTACTGTTGGATATAAAAGTCAAGAATAAAAGGATATAGACACAACGTGGCTTACGTCCCCTCTGACAGGAAGTCAATCTCACCCGGAAACAAAAAGGACAAACGTAAAACAAAATGGAAGGAATTCCACTTCTCGTTTGACCCCTACGTAATGGAATAAGCGTTGTTATCCCATTTAGTACCCCTGGTCCTTGTATTTTATTTTTTCCTGGTGCCATTCTTGAGTTGATACTGGTGCTTTTCCAGAGAAAGCCCAACATGCATGCGTGTTCGTTTTTTTATTTTCGTTTGATCAGATGCAACTCCATTTTTGGATAGCCTGCCTCTACTCGATGACGATAAAAGAGCCGTTCAACTTCTTGAAAGTATGTCTCGGCTAGTTTTTTGACGTGCTCTTCATTCTCTGGATCAGCGTCAACTGGAATATCCACAGGTGAGCCGACAACAAGGGTCAAGGGGGTTCTGCGCGGTAGGGGCAACAGAAAACGACCATACAAAATCATTGGGAAGGGATAACCAAGGAGCTTCAGTGTTAGTTGCTGGAGCCATGGAAATTGGAGAATACTCATAATGTTGTTTTCGCCAAAACTCAATAGTGGCACGAGCGGCACGCGTTTTCGGAGGGCCAGGCGCACAAAACCAATGTGGTAGGTAATCAGTTCAAGGAATTTATCGGTACTAACGCTTCGGAGCATCTCGGATTGACCTCCTGTAACGATGATCGCGCTGTTGCCACGGTCCAAGCTCGCTTCAATGGTATGCCGACTGACCGATAACGCGTTCAAGGACATGTTGAAATCACGAATAAACGGTACGTTGAAAACCACACTCGCGGCGTGTGCAACGACGCAGGTTTTCGAGTTCGATCCCACCTTTTCTTGCCACATGTCGGTGAAAGGGGCAAAAAGTGCGGTTCCTGGGACCACACCATGGGGGTGGAACGAGAACAAATAATTGTTGGAACTGTCGCGCAGATTAACTTTTGGAGAGTCCAAGATCAGACGAAAGCTAAAATACTTGGAGACTTCGGAAAAAACATGATGTTTCATAAATTTAATGAACCGTGGACTGCGACGTGATCCCGTATGATATGGCTTTCCCTGATATGAAGGAATATACAGGATCCATAAAACCATGATCAATAGATCAAATACGTATACCCGAAACCTAGACATGACCAAACACCAGATATCAAAACGTGGCTCTTTAAACTCATCAAGGCAGCGAACGATCTCTTTATAGGTTAAATACCCAATAATTGCATAGAGAAGAACACGGATTGCCCAACGAACCCGTTTATAGGTACCCCCAACAGCGAAAGCATGGACAACAAACAGATTAACGGCCGTACTTAGGCGAGGAGCAAGCACCGCCGGTATGAGGAAAACAACGACGATGAATAATGGCAGACCGTAGACTAAGTACGTGGAGAGAGCGGGGCGCATCCCCAGAAACATTCGCGGGATGCCTACATCTGCCATGTAGGGCACCGCCGAAATAAACAGGGTACCGACCGCCACCCAAAGCATGAAGGGCAAGTAATAACTCACCGCATCGAGTAGCGGGGAAGTATGGTTAGAAAATACGTAATGTAAGAAGAAAAGCGTGAGAAACGGCGCGGTCATAGTCAGGATGATCGTCCCAATCTCAAGAGTATTCGTAACGATAGTAATCCACATCCTCTTGAGGTCGTCCTGCGCGTCGAAGTCAGCATCGACGCCTTGCTCATTCGCGGGATCGTTTGCTTCCCTCGAAGGTTGACGGTTCATCTGATGCCGGACGCGACGCCACTGCTGTGTGGTACGGCCCATCGCGAGCAAAATCAGTGGCGCAGCGAGTAAAACGCCGATGGTGGTTAGATACAATAAAAACCTAGTGGGGAACTCATAGCTCATTGGACCGTGCGACCCATCCACCAGATACGAGTGAAAAAACATGTGGAGGCGGTTTAAAGCAAATGTGAAACAAAAGACCAGAACCGCAACTGCTGCCTCGCCATTTCGTTCCAAAAAGTGTTTGGTTGCCGTGGGCGTGTACTTTGGAATGGATTTGAACAAGGAAACTTGAGCAACCCCCGAAAGCACCGCGGCCAGCGTCATCCCACCCCTCCCCAGCGCCCCAGGCACCTCATTAGCGACCAACGTCAGCAGGACGACTAAGACATAGGCAATCCAGCCGACGCATTGGTACGAAGCAAAAGCGGCGCCGCCTCGGAAGGGCATGAAAACGGCGTAATTGGGGTCGTTCCGATGGAGGAGTGCACCGTAGCCTACGTGAATCCCCAAACACGATCCGGTGCAGACAATTAAGCCGAACACCGCGCAGCCTACCCGAAAGACGTCGTGGGAGCTGGGAATCGAGCCAATCATGAAAAGCGACGCGGTGGCGAGGAAGAGAAGCATGACAATGATACCCATGTCTTGGTGCAGGCGGCGACGCTCGTATGCGTTGAGCATAGCACGCGTGTTGACTGCTTCTTTCCTAAAGGCGACATGGTTGGCTGAGGAAACAGAAGAGGACGGAGCAATGCTGCCTTTCAGGCTAACAGAGCGGGGCTGGTGAGATGCCTCATGTCCCTCAGGGGTACCTTGTTCACTAGAAGAACTCGCTTGTATAGGCAAGCGAAGGTAAAGCATTTCGGACGAGTCCAGCACGCCAAAGGTTTGCAAAACTGGCTCTGCAACTGCTGAAAACATTATTTGTAAGGCATCTTTATCTTCTTTTTTTTCTGACCTCTCTACCATCTTGCTAAGGATCTGATTCAACGTGTCCAAGGCCTGAACACCGAGCCAGCGGCGCTGCCGATTCTGAAGATCATTTTTGTATTCCATAGCAATGTAAATGGTGATAAGTATAAGAGGAATGAACTGCAACAGCCCTCGAATTGTGTGTGTTTTTAATGCAGCTGCATGATCCTTCTCTTGATAATGGGCGAATATAAAGAGATTTACCACAATACCAAGAACGTGTACTGTCCAGCTCAACGCATGCAGTACAACAAACGTGGGGCTACTAGAAAACAGATAAAACACGTGAATACCCTTGCTCCGTGACGAGAAGTCAGCAAGCGGTACGCTGGCACCGTAAAAGAGGCACCCTAGAAGAAGCAACTTTGAACGTGGAATATCCGCATCAAACCACTTATAGTGTTCTGAAAGATCCAGAACAAGGCATAGCGTGAAGGATGCAAAGGCGCATACATACGCGCAAATCATTTCAGCATTTAAAAGGGAGCCGAGTTGGAGGTTTCCAGACACCTCATCCTCACTATAACTCCCACCATCAAGAAGCAGAGAGCGCCGCTTGTCAAATGCAGATCTTGATTCTGGTCGCTGTTGCTTAGAAGCGTTATCAAGGTGAAAATCTTGAACATCACTGCCATCTTCGCCCATATCACTGAGGTTGGCTGCTGAGACGCCACCCTCAAGCTCGCACAATCGGTCCGGCCTTGCATTGTATATACGCTCCGAAAAAGTAATGCAGGTGACGCTAAACGCAGAGCTGAGGCTCGCAATAAGACCAAAGGAATGAGTGCCCGTGAAAAGAAACAATGCTGTAGCCAAGAGTTCTGAAAGGTAGAGCAGCCAAGCCCCGCACTGAATGAATAGAAACGCCGGTCGACCTTGAGAGCTGTGATGAATAGTGAAGTTCGCACCATGAATCGCGCATCCGGCAACTTGAGTGATTGGGGCCAAAAAAAGTGAGAAGACAAGGATCAACTGCAAGCAGAAATACAAAATATCCCTCGCGCTTCGCCCAGCATCCGAGCAGTTCATCTCATCCTCATGAAGCGTTATGTACAAGGTTAGTACGATATAAACAGCTCCTAACAGATATGTTACGACGTTCAGTACAGCTCCAAAGAATCGAAAAATGCCGTTAGATGGTTTGACCTCAATAGAGCTAAAAGAGGTAGAGCGAACGATGAACAGAAAAATAACGTTGCTAAACCCGTTAAAAGTGGCTATACACACCAAAACAAAGGGTGTTGCATGTAATATTGATGAACTCTTCAGGAAAAGTGCATTCATAGCCACTGAGGCAATATAAAGTGCACGAGCAATCCAGAAACCAATGGTATCTGCACTGCGTCGAAGCCGAAGGGTTCCCAAGCAATAGCCCGGCTTGTATGCACGGCCAATGAAGAAATGGACGGTTGCGCCGCTAAGTAGCTGCAGCACAAGGAAACAAACACTAACGATGGTAGCAATCTCGGGAAGCATCACAACCAGCGCACTCACAAAACACTGTGCAATCGCAAAGATCACCACCAACGCCGACTCACAGTTAGGGCTGATATATAGCAACTCTAAAAAGCTTGTCGGGTTGAAGAAAGTCCCGTTATTGGACGTGGGAGACTCCTGATTGCCGTCCGCATGCATCAACGCCCTCTCACCCTCATGAGGCTGAAAATAATAAAGCGAAAGGTGAAGAAGGATGTTACCAGCAACACCAAAGACAATTACTGTTGTATAGAGCCCATGCTGAGCCTCTTTGTGCGAGGAGGATGACAAGAGGAAGAGGGTGTGCAAAAATGCAACCGCCAGGGAAAATAATACACAGGAGATACCGAAAAACTGCATGATTACAAACCGGTGACCGCCCTGGAAAGGTTGGTAAAGTCGATAGCGGTGAGCACCGTACCGATGGCGACCTAGCATGTACGAGAAGAAGTTATTCAGCGTGATAATATGGCAGCCCAAGACAACAAGTAAAATCAGCGGGAACATATCCAGGTGCCCCTGATAAATTTCGGCCAAGACAAAACATAGCAAACAGACAAGGAGGTTCACGATCCAAACAATTGTTAAAGAAGTAGTTGAAAACGATGGAATAGCAAATGAGCTGACTCGTTTATTTATAAGATAACCGAGATCAAAATTATTTGGTAAAGATTCGATTGGTTGCTCAGAAGAATCTTCTTGACGAATTTCTTTATTCTTTGAAGTTCCGGGAAAGGTGATTTGCTTGCGAAACAATTCAAGGATCATTGATATTTCATCTTCAGATGGACACTTATCTGAGACCGAACTCGTAAAACGGGTTGCGTCGTGCTTATCCATCGGAATACTTTCCATTAAACACTCACTTTCCTTTTATTTTTTTAAAAATTTTACTTTTTCCTTGTGTGTATAAAATTATAAGTATAGCAACACAATTCTACCCCAGGGATGAGCAGAAGAAAGAGATACGCAACGAAAGGTAAAAAGGAGATGTCATTGAAGACTCTGTTTACCAAATTCACATCACTATTGACGATTCATGTAAAGTCAAGCAAACAATATATGTCAATCTTAATTCTTTGTGTCTTAATGCAAATCCGCCTCCTCCAACTCCAACCCTTTTGCCTGCGCATCCGCTCGAAGCTGCTCTTCAAATGTCTGCAAATCAAGAAGACATCCATCAATGGCGGTCTGCAATGCTTCTTTCGGCGTCGGCACCCGTCTGCTGCTGCCGTCAGATGAGGTCTGCACCCGCAGCTCAACACGATGCTGCGTGGGGTGCGGCACCCGGTAGCCTGCGATCTGCACAAAAGGGGACTCATGCAATTTCATGCGCAGGAGATTTGCGATGGTGTGATCTTCCTTGTCAAGCTTAAAAAGTGACGAATTTGCTATGGTACTCGAAACATGCTCTAAGATCTTGCAATCCCCCTTCATGTCAACCAGGCTGTCTGGCGTAATATCATTGTTATAGATCAGCATACCGTGAGAGACCGACATTTTGTGCACCTTATGATTGGATTTGCGTATTACACTTTCTGAAAAGTGCCACCAACAATAAAGATGCCCCGAATTTCACAACTGTAGTTTACAACTTGTTATTTGCTTTAGGAGAAAACTACTACAACCTGAGCATAAAGGAGAAAAATGAGCCTCCAATATGAGAATAAAAATGACGAAGCTGCGGAAATGGATTAATTCCTCATCAGCATCATTTACATCGTGTCCCAAATGTCTTTCATCGGATTCCAAGATGAGACAGTCAAACGTCATTGGAATTTATCAACGGTCAAGAAATCCTCCTACCACAGAAACAAAAGAAGAAGTAACAGCGATAGACAAAATAAATGCATCGAAACGTCCCTCCCAGAAAATCATTCACCTAATACGCAAGTTCAATAGAAGGCAGCGTCCCTTCTTCCACAACTGCATTGCCCTTAATTAAAATTCGTGGCCTCCTTGTGATTAAACGCTTGTATTTGAACAATGTTGCGCTTGTCAAATACGATATCGTGATCGAAAAGATAGCGGGCCTCACCGTACGCTACTCCACATCCAAAACCTGTGCCTAAGGCAATAATGGCACCCCGCACAGCAGCAGATCTCCCTAGTAAAAAGCATGGCAAAATACTCATGCAAACTCCAATGGAGGCTTTACGAATAAAGTTTTCAAGCGAATGATCCCACTTCTCATCGGAACTAATTTTAAAATCTTCTTGCGACAGTTCCTTCGACATGTTGCTAGCTAATATTAAAGAGCTAAGCTTCCTTAGTATCAATTTGTGTGTGTATTTTCGCCTCCTCAATGTATAATTTGTAGTCCACTTCCTCCGGAAAAAAAAAATGAAAATGAAGTCCCCAGCATCATCTTTTTTATTTAATTTTTCTCTCTCAATACATTTCCTCCCACCTCTTCTAAGGCTAGCTCTAGGAATGAATTGCAGCACGAAAGCATCCTTTCAAAGTCTTTTATGTGAACTATCTACCCGAAAGGAGGAAAAAACGCATTATGGACACTTCAACTCGTAGGATTGTCGTTGTTTAGCGGACTGCGCAATAGTTAAAAGGCGCCGCAAGGGGGCCGAAGCAACTCCGCCATGTTTTTCTTCTGCATGCACAACCAGGGCCTCCGCCTCAGAAGGTCGATCGTACATCATGCAGTAGAGCAACGCACGTATTTCCTCGGAAAAAGCCAATTCAACCCCACCCACTCTACGGGCGTAGCCCATGGCGTACAGGGCCCCTTCTGGGCTACCATCGTCCACGCAAATACAAAGTAAGAGACTCAACATCCTTGCGGAGAGCGGGGGTTCGACCGGCAGAACCGCCGCCGACCGACGCGCGACGGCGCCCCGCGAGGCCCCGCTGCCAGTCTCCACGATCCGGCTTTCCACCGCCGCGGCGGCCAACTCCGTCGACCAGGCCAGAGCGGACTTCCAGGA